TGTTTTTCTGAGGTATGCCGAACCCAATGCAAAAGCCAGCTCTTATGGTCCTAGCAGACCTATCACAACAGAAGTAAACACTTTACTACTGTTTAATTCTGCGTGGTTGGGGAAGGTTAGGGTTAATCAGAACAACAACCCATTTGCCGTTGCAAGTACATGTAACTCTGCCCATAATACAAATGGAATCGTCGACCATGCCGTGGAACTTCATATATGGACTGGATCACGTGTACTTATTGAACTTGTGCCAACATATCGTAAATGGCCATGGACCATGCATAAACTGGTCATTCGTCCACAGTGGGCGCATTAAAAACTCTGATACGTCCACTATCTTGTAAGCTATGCCGTTGCCCGGGTCCATGCATGAAACCAGCTCTGAAATGAGAAATTGAGAACCAAGACCCTCGCTGGTGCATCAGTTTGGGCAATGGCTAGGCTATTTCTTAACCACACGATGCATACATGCATATGCGGAAAGTACAACACGTCACACGCAAGTACCAGGCAAAATTCACCAATGTTGAAGTCACAGCCACATGTAAAACAGTCTTCAAGCATCATGGCTTCCGGCCGTCAAAGCTCCACTGCGCCGCACATGCAAGAACCAATGAGGTTTGGTACCCAGACACAAGGGTATTTTACAGTGTATTTGTGTATGCATTTTCCCTTGTGTGGAAGGGTGTCCTGCTAAATGTACAGCATGCTATACATGCATGACAAGTACATGTACATGCAGGAACGGCGGTGACTTGGATTCGATGAAGTAGTCACAGGCACTAAGCCGTGATTGGGACTCGGATTTGATGTTTGGAGTCGGCTCTTTGAATGTGGAAGCGCCAATGGTACATGTAGGTACCCGGTTCTTAACAAAAGCAGAGCCGCCGATTCCAATTTTTTTGTGGAACCGCGGTTCCACTTGGAACCGGGAGTACCGCACATGCCTAGTAGCCTGCATGACCATTCTGAAAATAATCATAAGCCAATTTGGTCATCCAACTAGTCTTCCTCACGTTGAAGCTTACTGTAGGGTCATTTAGGATGACCAATACCGCATGCATGCATGAGATTGGCCCAATCAGTGGGAAAGTCAAAAGTGGGACATGTGTGGGGTAGTCGGAAGGGGGAGGGGCATGAGGAAGTCAGAAGTGGGACAGGTGTGGGACAGTCAGAGATGGACGGGGCATGAGGTACATGTAGTCAGAAGTGGGACAGGTATGGGACAGTCAGAGATGGACGGGGCATGGGGTACATGTAGTCAGAAGTGGGATGGGTGTGGGACAGTCAGAGATGGACGGGGCATGGGGTACATGTAGTCAGAAGTGGGATGGGTGTGGGACAGTCAGAGATGGATGGGGCATGAGGTACATG